CCTCCGCCTCCCAAGTAGCTGGGACCACAGGTGCCCGCCACTGGCTATTTTTTCGTTGTAGCCATCATTGTTGTTTGGCGGGCCTGGGCTAGATTCGAACCCACCACCTTAGGTGTATGTGGCTGGTGCCTTAGCTACTTGAGCCACAGGCGCTGAGCCAGTATTTCTTTTTTATTTTATCTTAATTATATGGTTTAGTGATGTATTATCTGTGTTCATTCCTCAGGAAGCACAAGAAGCAAGGAAGTCATTTAATAAGAAGGATGAAGAACATATATTATCAGGAAGAGATAAGAGATTGGCTGAGCAAGTATCCTCATATAATGTGAGTAAGAAAATTAAGTATGTAGCTTTTTTTCATCTTTTAGTTTTCTTCTCATTTTTTTCTCTTGAAAAAAATAAATAATAAATAAATCTCTTGATTTATTGGACATAAGTTGACCAATACCACAAACAGTAAAGCATATATGAAACATTTTTGGAAACTGACCTGAAAATTCAACCCAGGTGGAACATTCATGAAAACTAACAACCTCAAAACTCAAGAATCAAGAAAATTGAAAGACTCGTTATCATTCGAACTATATTCTCTGACCATAAAGAATTTAAAATTCAGAAAAACCTTAAAACCTTATAAACTGGAAATAGAAAAACTCAAAATTTAATTTAGCATCAGAGAAGAAATAATAATGGAAGTTAGAAAATACTTTGACCTGAATGATAAAAATATAACATGTCAAAATGTGTGGGATGTCATATGAAGTGGTACTTAGAGGCATAATTGATATACATAATGAATTATATATATTAAAAAATGGTTGAAAATTAATAAGATAAGCCTTTTACCTTGAAGTAATACTTTAACGTACTTATTTATTATAGCCTCAAAAAGACATATAAGAATATTAATAGATACTTATAAGAGCTAAATACTATAAATAGCCCAGGTGTTTATTAATAAGAGAAAATAGGGCAGCACCTGTGGCTCAGTGGGTAGGGCGTTGGCCCCATATACCAATGGTGGCGGGTTCAAACCCGGCCTCAACCAAACTGCAACAAAGAAATAGCCAGGCATTATGGCAGGCACATGTAGTCCCAGCTACTCGGGAGGCTGAGGCAGGAGAATCGCCTAAGCCCAAGAGTTGGAGGTTGCTATGAGCTGTGACACTATGGCACTCTACCGAGGACAATAAAGACTCTGTTTTAAAAAAAGTAAAAAATAAAAAATAAAATAAGAGAAAATAAATGAAATTGTGCCATAAGATGAAAAATTATTCACCAGTAAAAAGAAATTACAAATAAATACAACATGGATGAATCTCAAAGTGATTATGCCAAGTGAAAGAAGTCTCACCCAAGCAAGTACATACTACTATTCAGCTTATGTGGAGCTCTATGATAAGCCAAATAAATCTGTGGTGGGGAAAACTGTCAGAATGGCAATTGTTAGGACAAAGATGTGGGGTGGACTAAACAATGGCATACGAAGTTTTCTGGGATGATGGAAATGTTCCAAATCTTGGTTAGAGCTTGAATTACAAAATTTAGTGAATGTGCACTTAATATTTGTATATTTCATTGTATGTGAATTTATCTTTAAAAAATTATAAATAAGTATTGAACTCTAGTTAATGAAGTACATTCTGACTGGGGGGCACCTGTGGCTCAGTGAGTAGGGAGCCGGCCCCATATACCAAGGGTGGCAGGTTCGAACCCAGCCCCATCCAAACTGCAACCAAAAAAATAGCCAGGTGTTGTGGCAGGTGCCTGTAGTCCCAGTTACTCAGGAGGCAGAGGCAAGAGATTGCCTAGGCCCAGGAGCTGGAGGTTGCTGTGACACCACGACAGTCTTGAACACTCTTTAAAATACACTCTTTTAAATAAGGACAAAATAAAGCCAGGTGCAGTGACTCATGCCTGTTATCCTAGCACTTTGGGATGCTGAGGCAGAAGGTTCACTTGAGGCTAGGAATTCAAGACCAGCCTGAGCAACATAATGAGACTCCTAGCTATACAAAAAAAAATATTTGGGGGCGGCATCTGTGGCTCAAAGGGTTAGGGCACCGGCCCCATATACTGGAGGTGGCAGGTTCAAACCGGGCCCTGGCCAAAAACTGCAACAGTTTTTTTGGGTTTTTTTAATTTATTTTTTTAACTAGCCAGGGGTAAGCTAGGCATGGGTGGCTCATGCCTATTATCCTATCACTTTGGGAGTCTGAGGTGAGTGGATTACTTGAGCTTAAGAGTTCAAGACCAGCCTGAGCAAATCTCTACTTTAAAAAAAAAAAAAAAAGGTAGGACAAACTAGCCAGTCATGGTGGCAGGTGCCTGTAGTCCCAGCTACTCAGAAGGCTGATGCAAGATGAACTCTTGAGCCCAGGAGTTTGAGATTGCTGTGAACTGTTACACTACAGCACTCTACCATCGCAACACGTGAGACTCTGTCTCTAAATAAGTAAGTAAACAAACAACAAAGTAAATAAATAAATGAAACTTAGCTAGGGGACTCTCATTCTTTCCAAAACTATGTAATGGGGAAAAAAGCATTTAATTTACAAAGATTGTGATAATTACAATACAGTAATAGCCAATAAATCTAACACTTAGGATGTATTGGGTATTTCTTAAACACTTAAAAATACAAATCCTTTGTATTCATTAGATCATTTAAGACCTTCCTCATTCGAATACCTAGAAATTAGTACTATGACTACTACCACTTTACACATGAGGAAATAAGACAAATTATTTGCCCAAGGTTACCAGTATGGAAAGCAACAGGACCATCATTGCAACCCTGATTTTTCTGAAGTTGGGTCTTTAGTTCTTAACTGTTTACCCATGATGTAGTGATAGCCTATTTTTGTTGACTATAATCTTCTTTAGCAATATTTGATGATTTTCTTATTTCCTTTAATTTATTGAAAATAAAGAATTGGAAAGCACCTGATTTTGCAAATCAGTTTGTCTCTGCAAGACTTTACCAAGATTTATGAATTAAGACTTTACCAAAGACTAAGAGGTACTTTGTTTAACTCAGTATATTGAGCAATGATGGGAAAAAAGGAAATGGTGCTAATTTAAATACATATTTACTAATGTATCTTTTACATTCTGCTAAAACCTTATAGCTCCAGATTGAGCTCATTTAATGTACAAGGCTTGTCTACTACGTAACTCAATTGACTAACATTTCTTGTCAAATCAAATAAGTTAGACTCACTTTCTGTCAGGAAGTCTGACTTCATTTTTTTCCATTCAACTATATGTGTTAATGATCATTCATATGACACTTCTGAATTCTAATGTAGGTGGGTAAGTACAGTGAGTTTGTCTTTTGGATGAAGTAAGATGCTGTCACCTTCAATATTTTGTACTGGTGCCTTTGTTACTTTGCTTTCGCTGAGCTTTCTTCACTTTGCTGTCAAGCATTTTCTTTGGCAGTAGGCAGGACCCGGAAAAGATGTGGTTGTTAAGCAAAAACTATTCTTTGCTTCATTGCTCAGACTTCAGCATATCTGAATTCATAACCTTCCAACAAGAGCCAAAATACCCATTTCTAAAGGACACTACACTCTTACAAGAAACGTATTTCAAGATCCAGAAGGACACAAACTTTCCTGGGTTGATAGTTTCTTGATTAAGGGAAGTTTCATTCATAACAATTTTTCAGACTGGTTGGTTGGTTGGTTGGTTTTGGCACCCCAAAGACTTGCTGTCCTGGACAATGTTCTGTAGTCTCTTTTGTTAAATAGGAAAGGGCTAAAATGAAAGGGGAGGCAACTTCACAAGGTGTATTATAGATCAAATAATCTTCAGAAAGACTACATGAAGAAGTTGAGATAACCTTAAAATTGCCCACTCCTTCATACCCCAGGGAATCTACTCTGTGCAGCCCCCAGGGACACATGTTCCCCACCTTGGAGGCTTCTAGTCCATCCTGCCTGCGTCTACTCCTTCATCCCCTCCCTGCTCCTGCAATCCAGAGCCATTCTGTCTTTTACTTTAGTTAGAGCTCTATAATGAATCTCTAATTTATTAAACCAGACCTTGTCTTGCTAGGTGTATCTAAAAATATGAACACCTCCCCTAGCTAAGAAAGGAAAAAATGAGGGAGGTAAGGGGAAAAGAGAACAGAAAACTAAAACGAACAAAAATTCGCTCAGCCAATGGAACATGCCAACATATCCCGCATGCAGCTCAAATTTTGCCACCTCTGTGCTCGTGTTTTTCTGTTTTACTTTTGTTTTTGCTTCAGCCTGGCAGTGCCCTCCCTCCCTATCTACCCATTTAGGCTTCAAGGACCAGCATGTGCATGAAGTAATGATATAATTGCTCTTCCTTTCACACCTGTGTTCTTTGTTTATACTCTAATTTTTAGTATATGAATGACCATACATATAATGACCCTTATAGTTATTTAAATATTTGTTTCCTCTGTCTTTTTTATTGTGTGGCATGTAGTTAGTAGGTATATTAAGCTTGATGGAGTTGAATTTGCCTCTGATACATATTTTCTTCATAGATACTATTTTGCATTAGGAAAAACATACTAGGGCTTGTAAATAGTTCTTCATAATATGTACAGCTACTACCTAATTATTCTGTTTCATGATCATTTTCTGTCAATAGTCTAAACAAGCTAAGGTTTTTATTTCTGCTTTGCTGCTCTCCCCAGGAATCAAAAAGATCAGAATCTCTTATGGACATTCATCATAAAAAATTAAAGAGCAAGGCTGCTGAAGATAAAAATAAGCCTCAAGAAAGAATACCATTTGACCGTGATAAGGATCTCAAGGTGAATCGGTTTGATGAAGCTCAGAAAAAGGCCCTAATAAAGAAATCTAGAGAACTAAACACCAGATTTTCACATGGCAAAAGCAATATGTTTTTATAAGTAAGTATACTTCAGTGGGGCATATTTTCATACTAATGAGTTTGAACTTTCTAAGTACTCTTTATCTTTAATAATTGTGTGCTAAAATCTATTTCCTTTTATATAATACGTTATAAACCTATAATATTTTTTATAAGTAAAAAAAAAAACTTTGTAAAGTCAGCCTGTGAGATAAAAAATATGGATGGTTTACTGGAAAAATAGCCTTGCCTTCTTAATAACCTAACAAAATGATGTTATTGCAAATGCTAAAATAAAAATTCATGTTACAAAAAGTGGTGAAGGAAAGTGTGGTTTGAAGCTTTGAGTGTGTGTGCATGCTTTATTAAAGATGAAGAAAGGAGGCTTGCTGGTCATTTTTATGTTAAACAGGATCACAATTTTAAAAGGTTCATTGCTTAGAAAGGTTCCCCATAAGTTAAGGTTCAGAACTACTCACATCATTCATTCATAGACCAGTCTGACAAGGGTTTGTAATGGTGATTAAGGAATAGCATAAGACCTGAGGTTGTGGCTCAGCGCCTGTGGCTCAAGCGGCTAAGGCGCCAGCCACATACACCTAAGGTGGTGGGTTTGAATCCAACCCAGCCCGCCAAACAACCATGGCTGCAACCAAAAAATAGCCGGGCATTGTGGTGGACCCCTGTGGTCCCAGCTACTTGGGAGGTAGAGGCAGGAGACTCGCTTGAGCCCAGGAGTTGGAGGTTGCTGTGAGCTGTGATGCCACAGCACTCTACCCAGTGGAACAGCTTGAGGCTCTGTCCAAAAAAAAAAAAAAAAGACCTGAGGTTGCTTCTTAAAATCTTTATGATTTTTAATTGTATGAAACCTATATATAAATTGAAATGTGATTTTAAAGGTAAATATAGTTAAATTTAGAAATACTCTCTAATTTAACTGAATTTTCTTATTCTTACCTCAGGGGGATTTCCCTGTGCAATGAAGAAAAGTTGTTGAAGAATACTCTTTTGTCTGTCTGTCCACCTTTATTCCTTTCATTTGGGCTTCCTAGGATTAGAGATTAATCTTAAAAATCGTACAAACTTACCTTGCTTTGTGTGTCCTTGAAGTCATGTGGAAATACAAAATTGATGTTCTGTTATGTAGAATAGAATATTTTTGTGTGCCTATGGCTTATGAGGAAGTATGGTCTTTCCTTAAAATAATTATTTTGAGGGTCCCTCTGATTTTTGTGGAGTCTCACAAGTACCCTCTAAGATCCACTGACTACCGCTGCCTGGACCTCCTTGTCAAATATGCTTAACCTGCCCCAGAGTCAGTGTGTCAAGTCTTAGCAGTAGATCCACAAATTTGAAATTGGTTGTTTTTTCTTTCCAAATTGCAGGCAGTGAATACAAATTTACTTGAAAATAGAGGGTATAGGGTTTTGTCTGTTATTAGTCTGCTTGTTTTAGCACTCAGGGCTTTATGTTTGTTTAGATTATTTAGTTTTTTGGTTTTGTTTTGTTTTTTAAGTCAGAGAGCTTAACTCTGGGTTGTCTCATATGCTAAGGAAAAGCTTTTGATTTTTCCCACTTTATATAAGAAGTATTTCCAGGAGAAACAATGTGTGGGACAAGATATACCATTAACTGTGAGCAGTATGAAATCTTTAAAACTCCCATCTCTGTGATCTCAACCAAAGCTTTCTGAGTCCCAGAACTTTGCTTTGGGATGGTCTTACTTTACCTACTTACAATACTGTACTTAGTAGTTTGTAGCTAATTTATTGGAGTCAGATCTTTTATATCAATCATGAACAGCCTTTTATAAAAAAAATCAAACTAATAAATCCTTGAATACAAAAACACACCTAGGAAATCTGTCATCATAACCACTCTAATTGATAGTATTATGTTTGTAATTCTTTAAGCACTGCCTCTTAAGATGTTAAATAGAAACTTTTATTTCAACTATTAAACTGTTGTTAAATAAAGCCTAAACATAGGTTCTGTAAATTGTATTTTCTTGCAGATTAATCTCAAGTGTTACACTAATTCTGTGTTCTAACTTTGATGAAGCATAAGGTTTTAATGGAATAACATTCTGATTCCCAATTCATGTAAGCTTTATGAAAATGAGTAACCCAATCCAAGATAGTACAAATTGTTCTCTTTTTAATAATATAATAGCAGCACATGTATTTTTTTCACACATCAGTATAAACAATAGCCTACTGAAGAAGGGTTGCTATTAAAAAGATAAATAATTGGGTGGCGCTCGGTGAGTAGGGTGCCGGCCCCATATACAGAGGATATCGGGTTTGAACCCAGCCCCGGCCAAACTGCAACAACAAACAATAGCCAGGTGTTGTGGCAGAGCCTGTAGTCCCAGCTACTCAGGAGGCTGAGGCAAGAGAATGGCCTAAGCCAAGATTTGGAGGTTGCTGTGAGCTGTGATGCCATGGCACTCTACCAAGGGCAACAAAGTAAGACTCTGTCTCTAAAAAAAAAGATAAATAATTGTCTTAAGCAAATTGAAAAGCTTCTTACCTAAACAGAATTGAACACAGCTACCTTTTAACTAAAGGAGTTACTTTTATTATTATTATTATTTTTATTTTTTGTGAGACAGAGTCTCACTTTCTTGCCCCTGGTAGAGTTTTGCTGCATCATAACTCACAGCAACTTCAAATTCTTGGGCTCAAGTGATCCTCTTGCCTCAGCCTCCCAAGTAGCTAGGACTATAGGCGCCCACCACAACATCCAGCTATTTTTTTAGAGATGAGGTCTCACTCTGGCTCAGGCTGATCTTGGACTGGTGAGCTCAAGCAATCCAGCTGCCTCAGCCTCCCAGAGTGCTAGGATTACAGGCATGAGCCACCTCGCCTAGCTAGGATGTCACTTTTAATGGGTAACATTTTCTGAACACAAAACTTTGTGTAAGAGTATCTCCCTTGTGTTCATTTAATTTTGCTATAAATTTTTCTCTAATGAAAGGAAAAAATGTTTTCTAGTTCTTTATCCTTATATAAATTCCTAACATATTTTTGAGAAATTGGTATTTTTTTAAAGTAAGAATGTCATCATTGGATACTTATTTTTGCGTTAATTTTCTCCTTAAACAGGATAGGGATATTTCTGTATTACATATTTACCATTTCGTCCCTCACCTTTAAGTCACCGTGACCTCTCCTTTCTGCTTAACACTTCCAGAAGCTACTACCTTAGAGTTAATGATCTTTCTTGCCACCCTGAAGACAATTTTAACAAAATGTAAGGCCAGCCCGAAGTTTTTTTGCACTGTGGAAAGAATCACAATAAAACAACATTGACAACAGAAGACCAAAGTAGATGCCCACACAGAACGGGAAGTGCTCTTCCTTCCCGCCCCTTCCCTCTTTCAGCTGCCCAAGGCCTAACTGAATCACATCTCCTATCCATCTGGCAGAAAGCTGGGATTGTTGATGGTTTTCTAAAAGGGACTTTTTAATTTCCTACATTTCTTGCCCGAGTTTTATAGGAATATGACCTTCTCGAAATTTAAAAATGAAGAAAAAAAAGCAACACTAAGCTCATAAAGTGGAGCAGGTACTTTAACATTATTACCTTTGACAGTGACACTGAAATTCTGTTCCTAAAATTATGATGATTTTGTCTAGCTCTCAAGTCAGAATCTCAGATAGATTTAGATGGTAACCATATTACTGGTAAGTAAACGATGGGGTTATTGGGGTTAGAAGTGGGGAAATAAGAAGGAGAATAAAAGGTAAGCGATGGAAACTACCCCATAATAAGACTAACTTATCTGATGAATTAAATCTTTTTTGTACTGGGCAAAATTAAGCCCTGCTTTCAAAGAAAAACAAGAAAGCCATGGTCTTCCTAAGAGTTTTTAATCTTATTTTGAAGTAGCAACCACCTGATAACTTAATTTATCACTTTAGCCTTTAGTGATTATGTCAATGATTTTTTTTTTAGAAGCGAAGTTAAGATTTGCATAGTGCTGAGGACTGTATCCTCTGTAATACATTATGATTATTATATAAATAATTTGATCCCAAAACATTGTGACATTTTTGTATTATGTATGGTGCATAATGTTAATATTATTATTCTGAGGGCGGCACCTGTGGCTCAAGGAGTAGGGTGCCGGCCCCATATACTGGGGGTGGTGGGTTCAAGCCCAGTCCCAGCAAAAACTGCAAAAAATAAATAAATAAATAAATAAATAAAATATTATTATTATGAAATATAGAATCATGGGAGAGAGTTTTTAAACTACTGTAATTATATTAGGCCCTTCTTCTCTTTTCATTTTTTTCCATGGCAATGATAGGTATTATTAGAAAAAAAAAAAAATTCCTGACTCGGTGTCTATAGCTCAAGTGACTAGAGCGCCAGCCACATACACTGGAGCTGGCGGGTTCAAACCCAGCCCAGGTCTGCCAAACAATAATGACAACTACAGCCAAAACATAGCCAGGTGTTTTGTGGAGGGTGCCTGTAGTCCCAGCTACTTGGGAGGCTGAGGCAAGAGAATTTCTTGAGCCCTAGAGTTTGAGGTTTCCATGAGCTTTGACTTCATGGCACTCTACCAACGACAACGAAAGGAGGCTCTTGTTTCTCAAAAAAAAAAAAAAAAAAAAAATTCGTTTTGAGTTATTCCTAAGTGGAAGAATTAATATGAAAGGAATTCTTTAGAGATAAGATCCATGTAACATCAACAGCCAAGTCTTCTGTTTCAGACTATGGATTTATTTTGTTCTGGCTTTTAATGCTATTATGAGATTTAAGTCTGCAGTTACAAAAGTTCATGCTACTGTAAAAGAGTTATATATTGGGGCCGCTTAAAAAACTGCTTAACTATAACCATGATGTGTACCAAAAAAGGTATTCATTGTCCCTTTCAATTTTTTTATTTTGAACTTTACCAATTAAAAGACTGTTTTTAGAAAAGAGAATTCCTGAAGTGTACTTTTTATGTGTAAATAAAAGTTTCATCTATATCTAATAAGTTGTGGCTTTTATTTTTGTTTCAACATTAGCTTTTCTGAAGGAGGCAATATTGGTGAAGAGAATAATCTGTAAAGATTTATTGCAGCCAACAAGATCATTGTAGACTATTGCGGAAAAAATAGTCTTTCACACCAGGTTTTTATTATCCCAATATAACTACAAGTGATATCTATTTATAAACACAAGACAGACAAACTAGAAATGCCCTTTAGCACTATGGCACAAAAAGGGCTGGCACCAAGATTCCATTGTTACCATATCCCAGGACATGTTATGGGTGGGCTTTTCTGGATTGTTTGCTTTTTGCTGGGTCTCTCTACTTCCTAAATTGGAAGTGACCCAAAGATTTTGCAATATTAAAGCTAAGAATTGAGTGATATGGCTCAGCGCCTGTGGCTAAGGTGGCAGATTCGAATCCAGCCCGGGCCGGCCAAACAACAATGGCTGCAACCAAAAAATAACCGGGTATTGTGGTGGGCACCTGTGGTCCTAGCTACTTGGGAGGCTGAGGCAAGAGACTCACTTGAGCCCAGGAGTTGGAGGTTGCTGTGAGCTGTGATGCCACGGCACTCTACCCAGGATGACAGCTTGAAGCTCTGTCTCAAAAAAAAGAATTGAGTGATAGGAATCTATACATATCGGGTCAAAGATAGAGAACCCTTGATTTCTCAGATCATTTCCATATACTGTGTGTTTATTAAGGACCTCATATGTTAGTTCATTTATTCAGTAAACATTTATTAAATGCTTCAGTGTGTGCTAGGTGCTAAAAATACAATGGTGAACCAGACAAGAATAGTCCTCCTTGAAAGGAGATTCTGTGCTGGTCACTATGGGGTAGTCACAAGTAAGTAAAGCAGATTCCTTGTCCCATCATTTTATATTCTAGTGGGAAAGAAGAAAATGATTTGAGTAAAAAGGATCTGGTAATTACAAATTGTGATAGGTATTAGAAAGAAAACAAGATAAAGAGAGACTAGAACAAGTAATTGAGGATGGGAATCCTATTTAGGTAGAGTAATTAGAAGAGTTTCAAACAAATGTCATTTAAGCTGTAACCTAAAAAATGAAAAAGAGCCTAGCATAGAAAGTAACTGACCACATATAGGAGGCCCTGAAGCGTTATTTCTGTGGTGTCTGAGAACTGTACCAGTGTGGCTGGTGTACAGTAAGAAATATCATGGCTCAGAGTTGGGCCTTTCTACTGCTACTATGAAGCCAGCACAAAGGCATCTAACCCAGTCCTGGAAAGTGAATGAAGCCTTACAGGGGAGAATACGTCCTAACCAAGTTCATAAACATCGCAAAGGAGTTGGCCAGAAGGTGTCGGTGCCAAACCTATTTGCCTTCCATAATTTCCCCAAATATGTCTGAATTCATACCTTAGACCTGAGACCCTTAGGCCTTGCTCAGTCTAAGGCCCTTAGACCAAGACCTTAGGCCCTTCTTCCAAAAACTTCCTGTATATAGCTCCACTAATATTTGTCATCAGTTATCAGAATATTAATACGTTGAACTGAAATTGAGATTATACTTTATCACTTAAACCATAATTAAAGGATAGCTGTATTTTTCCACAAGTTGTTTTAAATTATTCACTTCCTCCTGGATCAACTATTGAGGGTTATTTATATTTCTGTTTTGTCGTATTTTGTTTTTAATTCAGAAATGGAGGTCTTGCTCTGTCACCCGGGGTGGAATACAGTAGCTGGATCATAGCTCACTTCAACCACCTCAAACTCCTGGGATTGAGCAATCCTGCCTGAGCCTTCCAAGTAACTGAGACTACAGATGTGTGCTACCACACGTGGCTATTTAATTTTTTTTTTTTTAAGAGACAGGATCTTACTTTATTGCCCAGGCTGG